GCAGCCATCATTGTTGTTTGGCGGGCCTGGGCTGGGGATTCGAACCCGCCACCTTAGGTGTATGTGGCTGGCGCCTTAGCCACTTGAGCCACAGGCGCCAAGCCCAGAACAAGGATTTGAACACTTGCAGTCTGGCTCCAGCTTTCCCCACCACAATGCTGCATGGTTAATGAATGGAAGCTGTTGTTTCAAAGTTTGTTTTCTTTTCTTTCTTTTTTTTGAGATAGAGTCTCACTATGTCACCCTCAGTAGAGTGCTGTAACATCACAGCTCACAGCAATCTCAAATTCGTGGGCTTAAGCAATTCTCTTGCCTCAGCCTCCTGGGTAGCTGGGACTACAGGTGCCCCCCACAATGCCCAGCTATTTTCTTGTTGCAGTTGTCCTTGTTGTTTAGCTGGCCCAGGCTGGGCTCAAACCCACCAGCCTCGATGCATGTGTCTGGCACCCTAAGCACTGTGCTATAGGCACTGAGCCTCAAAGTTTCTTAAGTTAAATATCTACCTGCTCACACCCATTAGGATAGCTACTATCAAAAAAACCAAGATAACAGGTGTTGGTGAGGATGTGGAGAAATTGGAACACTTGTGCACTGTTGGTGGGAAGGCAACATGGTACAGCCATTGTGGAAAACAGTGTGGCAGTTCCCGAAACAATTAAAAATAGAATTACTGTCTGATTCAGCAATTCTACTTCTGCATATATACACAAAGGAATTGAAAGTAGGGACACAAATATTTTTGCACCATGTTCATAGCAGCATTATTCACAACAGACCCAAGAAGGAACTCAAGCAACCGTGAAGAGATGGATAGATAAACACAATGGTGTCCATCCACACACTGGAGTATTATTTGGCCTTAAAAAAGAAGGAAGCTGGGTGCAGTGACTCATCCCTTTAATCCTAAGACTTTGGGAGGCCCAGGCAGGAGGATCACTTGAGGCCAGGAGGTCAAGAACAGCCTGAGTAAGAGTCAGAACCCATCTCTACCAAAAAGTACAAAAACTAGCTGGGCATCATGGCAGGTACCTATAGTTCCAGCTACTTGGGAGGTTAAGGCAGGTGGATCATTTGAGCCCAGGTATTCGAGTTTGCTGTGAGCTATGATGACATCACTGCACTCCAGCCTGAGTGACAGAGTGAGACCCTATCTCAAGAAACAAAACAGGCTCTGCGCCTATAGCTCAACAGGCTAAGGCGCCAGCCACGTACACCTAAGGTGGCGGGTTTGAATCCCCAGCCCGGACCCGCCAAACAACAATGACGGCTGCAACCAAAAAATGGCCGGGCGCTGTGGCGGGCGCCTGTGGTCCCAGCTACTTGGGAGGCTGAGGCAGGAGACTCGCTTGAGCCCAGGAGTTGGAGGTTGCTGTGAGCGTGATGCCATGGCACTCTACCCAGGCGGACAGCTTGAGGCTCCGTCTCAAAAAAAAAAAAAAAAAAGAAACAAAACAGCAGGCTCAGCGCCTGTACCTCAGCAGCTAGGGTGCCAGCCACATACACCAGAGCTGGCAGGTTCGAATCCAGCCTGAGCCTGCCAAACCACAGTGACAACTACAACAACAAAAATAGCCAGGCATTGTGACAGATGCCTGTAGTCCCAGTTACTTGGGAGGCTGAGGCAAGAGAATTGCTTAAGCCCAAGAGTTTGAGGTTGCTATGAAATGTGGGGAATTAATGTTTCATGAGGGCAGAATTTCAGTTTGGGAGGATGAGAAATTTCTGGAAGTAGATGGTAGTGATGGCTGCACAACACTGTGAATGTGCTTAATGTCACTGAGCTCTGCACTTAAAAATGATTAAAATAGTGAACTTCATTGTGAACATCTTGCCCTATATATAAAGGAAAGGGCAGGGCAGACAGGGTGCTCAGGCAGGTGTTCTTGGGGAGGGGCCCAGAGGACCAGTGGTCTGTAGGTTGGTTGGGCAGCAGTGGGGTTGAAGGTCAGGGGCTTTGTCTGCCAGACAGAGCCTGGGGCCTGAACTCAGGAGTCACTGGGAACCACGGAAGGCTACTGAGCAGGGGAGGAGCTAGGGAAGGAAACTCGTAAGGAAGCAGAACCATTCCCTGAACACACGTGGGATCTGGGCGTCCTCTGAGTCACAAATCCTGGAAGCCTGGGGTCATGTAGAGGAAGCCCTGTTGGGCTACACAAGGCCTTCCTGTTTTCTGACCGTGGATACTCAGCAGCAGGCAGTCCAGGGCTGATGATCCTGAATCACCTTTACCTCCAGAGGCTTGGAATCCCCAAGCCACAAGGCCCCTGGCAGGGCTGGGAGATGTCCCTGCTGTCCAGACAGGGAGACTGAGGCATGGGGCTTGCCCAAGACTTTGAAGAACGAGGCTGCTGAGATTCTCATTTGGGGCCTCCGGAATCTGGACTGCACCCCTTTCTGGTAGGGAGTGCACTGCACCAGGGCCTTTAGGCAGGGAGGGCTGAGTTTTAGAGAGTGAATTCTGCTCACTCTTCATTGCTTGGTGGGGGGTGGGGGGTTTCTGCTCCAGACATCCAGAAGGTTCTGCAAAGTTACCTTGAATGAGAGCAGGAATCAGGCCCCCTAGAGAGGTAGTGAGGCACAGCACCTGTCACAGATGTATTCAAGCAGAAGACAGAAAGGTTGAACTCCGGAAGAAGTCAGTCAGTCCTATTGAGACCTCTGAGGCCCCTGGCTAGCGGGAATATTCTGTGATTCTAAAATCTTGTAGTTTGCAGGTTGTGGCTTAAAAAAATTCCAAGATACTTTGACTTTTTTTTTTTTTTGAGCCTTTGGGTTTGACATTTTCATATACTTAATCCTAAGTATCCTTCTTTTTTTCCTTTTAAGAGTGAGTGCCATGGCATCAGCCTACCTCATAGCAGCCTCTGACTCCTGGGCTCAAGTGATTCTCTTGCCTCAGCCTCCTGAGTAGCTGGGACCACAGGCGCCCACCGCCCCACGCGCCTAATTTTTCTATTTTTAGTAGAGACAGGGTCTCACTCTTGCTCAGGCTAGTCCTGAACTCCTGAGCCCAAGCAGTCCACACACTTAGCCTCCCAAAGTGTTAGGATTACAGATGTGAGCCACCGCGCCTGCCCAGAATTCTTATACATGTCCTTGGAGACTAAATCTTTAAATATATGGTATAAGATGCTGTATCGATTATTATACTTATCATTATTATTAGTTGTTAATTACCTAATGCATTTTTGTTTGAAGCTGTTTCCTGGGATTTCATTTACATGTGTTCATAAAGTTCTGATGGCAAAATAAGTGCTGTGTACGGTTATTATTATTATTAGTGCCATTGTTGATGTTATTATTATTTTTTTAATCATCCCAGCAGGGAGTTTTTCTGGGACTTGAAGGACTCAGCCGAGGCTCGCGCACGCCCTCTGCGGGCTGACATCGGGACTACAGGTCGCCTGTTCACCCCGCCGCCCCTCGCCCGCAGGTGCCACCTCTGGTCGCCTGGCTCTCGCCATGCGGACTCCTCGAACGCACCCTCCCCGCCTGGCCCTGCTGCTTCTGCTGCTGCTCCTGGGGGGCGCCCACAGCCTCTTTCCCGAAGAACCACCGCCGCTCAGTGTGGCCCCCAGAGACTGTGAGTGGGGGTGCGGAGGTGGAGTCCCTCGTAAGGGTGTGGCTTCCCAGTTGGGTCTCCTGTCCGTCCTCTTGCCCCTGGGGCCTTACTACTCCAGGAGCTACCTCTAGAAGTATCACGACCTCGGCCCACCCCACTCCCACCCCAGGCCCTGGCTCAAATCCTTTCCCATTGCTCTCCCCAAGACCTGAACCACTATCCCGTGTTCGTGGGCAGTGGACCTGGACGCCTGACGCCCACAGAGGGTGCTGACGACCTCAACATACAGAGGGTTCTGCGGGTCAACAGGACGCTGTTTATTGGAGACAGGTATGACAGACACAGTTGGGGGAGGACTTGGGCTTTGATTCGGGGAGGCTGGAGCCATGGAGGGCTGTAGGCAGAGGTAAGGCCCTGACTCAGGTGATCATGGGCGCCATCTGGTGGCTGCTGCGAGGAGAACAGGCCGGGTAGGGCTAGGTGGGAGTGGAGAACCAAGGCAGAGGAGACTGGGCTGGTCCAGTCTGGCAGTGATGGGGATCAACCCAATGGAAGCCACAAAGGGGAGAAGAGAGCACATTCTGGATAGACTTTAAGGCAGAGTTGACTGCCTTATAGGCTTATATAGGATGTGGTAGATGGGGAGGGGAGGAGGAGGAGAGGTGAGGGATCCTGGAAACTTGTGGTCCAAACCCCTGGAAGGATGGAACTGCCCTCAGCTGAGACTCAGATCTGGTTTGGGGGTTGGGTCAGGCCCTGAGTGTCTGTGTTGAGTGTGAGACCCTGGGAGTCACCTAAGGGGGGATATTCATGGGCAGCTGTGCCCTGTGTCTGGAGTTCGGTGGCAGGCCAGGGGGGGAGATCTGGAGATGGGACTGGGGACATCATCAGAGTGCAGAGGGCACTTAGAACTCCAAGAATAAACGAGATTGCCCAGGAGGGGAGGGCATGGAGGCAGGAGGAGGAACCACCCCATGGCCACATTACCCTTTCAGGAGGGTCCCAGAGAGGTAGGAGGGAAGCCAGGAGAGTCTGGGGCTCCATAAAGACAGTGTTCCCAGGAAGAGTGGGGTTTGGTTAGATCGGATTCATTGGAGAGGATGAGGAGGATGGAGAAATGACCACTGGACTTGACTTCTCAGTCACCAGAGATCTTATGCAGGACAGTTTCCTCGACATGGGGGATGGGAAGTCTGATGTAAGAACATTGGATGGTCCATCGTGTTGTTAGGACATGAGGGGGCCCTAGGAGAGTGTATGGCGGGGTTTGCTTAGCACTGGACTTGCTGGTGTTAGGGGCTTCAGCGCGTACCTGCTTTTACCTTTTGGACAGATTGGAAAGAGGGGAAGGGTGGCAGAGGCCCCCCCAGTCTCACTTAACCATACCCTTCCCCCAGGGATAACCTGTACCGGGTGGAACTGGAGCCGCCCACTTCCACTGAGCTGCGCTACCAGCGGGTGAGGAAGGAGCGCAGGCGGGAGGGGAGGGGCAGGGCCTGGGATCCCATCAGAAGGACCCCACACTGCTCTGGGGAACCGGATGGGTTCGACACTGCCCCGGGGGGTGGGAGGTTCCTGGGGTTGTTGGGAACCCTGCTGCCCCTTCACCAGCTCTCTGCCCGCAGAAGCTGACCTGGCGATCTAACCCCAGTGACATCGACGTGTGTCGAATGAAAGGCAAGCAAGAGGTGAGTGGGCACTGGCCCCGCCCCAGTACCACCACCACCACCACCCCAGCAGCCCTGGCCACGCCCAAAGCGGTATCTCGTCTTCCTCCTCTTCCTCATTCCTAGTTTAGGACCTTGATGTTGCCATGGTTATGCCCAGACCCTGGTCACGCCCACAAAATAGTCCGTAGTCATGGCCATATCCACAACGTTGGCTCTCTACTTGTCCCCTCCCTCAAGGCCCCAGATCTGCCCTGGCTCTGCCCTTTGCCCTCACCACCTCCGCATGCCGCACAGATCAGGCCACACTTACTGAGTAGCTTACAGAGCAGCCATGCTCACACACACATCCCCCCACCCCTTGTCCTCACCCTAGGGTGAGTGCCGAAACTTCGTAAAGGTGCTTCTACTTCGGGATGAGTCCACGCTCTTCGTGTGCGGCTCTAACGCCTTCAACCCAGTGTGCGCCAACTACAGCGTGAGTCTCTGCCTCTCAGAACCCCTGCCCAACACAGGTGTAACCTCCAGACCTTTGCTCACCTGCCTCCACTAGCCAGGGCTTTTCCCCAGGCGGTGTCACCTACAGGAGGTCTTGCGGGATATGCCCTCCCTGCCTAGATTGGGCTCAAGGGGGTCAGTTACTTCCAAAGGGGTCAGGAGAGCTGTAGCTACTTAAGCTACCATCCAGTTTTAGAACTAACAAATCAACTCTTTTTATTTTCTGAGATAAGGTCTCATTCTGCCACCCAGGCTAGAGTGCAGTGGCATGATCATTGCTCATTGCAGTAGCACAATAATGCTCCAACTCCTGGGCTCAAGCGACCCTCAGCCTCCTGAGTAATTGGCACTGAGCTAATTTTTCTTGCTATTGCCCAGGGTCAGACTCCTGGCCCCAAGCAGCCCTCCGATCTCTACCTTCCAAAATACTAGGATAAACAGCCATGCACCACCAGGGCTGGCCACAATTCTTAGACATATTTATAGATCAGTAAACTGAGACCCAGAAAGGTCTAGTGCAAGGCCACAGTTACACAGTAATCCATGGTAAAGAGAGGACAGCCTGAGAGTTGGGGCTGCCAGGGATAGCCAGGTCTGTCTTTTAACCCTCATCTGCCCTACAGATAGATACCCTGCAGCCTCTTGGGGATAACATCAGTGGCATGGCCCGCTGCCCTTATGACCCCAAACATGCCAATGTCGCCCTATTCTCTGGTGAGTATCCTCTGCCACTGTGCATCTATCTGCTCAGCCAGGCCCTGGGCAGGGCCTGGCATTTTCCACTCTTGGAGTCTGGGTTATTTAGAAGACACAGAGTGACCATTTGTCCAGCTGTGAAATGGACAGAATCTCAGCCCCAGTTTGGGCTCAGCTGGGATTAAGGTTCAGCCAGGTTCAGGGCTTAGACAGAGTCAAGGGCTCAGTTAGCAACAGGGCTTAGATGGGGTTGGGGCTCAGCCTGGAGGCAGGGCTTTCTTGGATTCAGGACTCTGTTGAAAACTGAGTTTAGACCTGCACAGCCCCTGGACACAATTTTATCTTTTGCCTGCCTCTCCCATCCACCCTATCCAGATGGAATGCTCTTCACAGCCACTGTTACTGACTTCTTAGCCATTGATGCTGTCATCTACCGCAGCCTTGGGGACCGGCCCACCCTACGCACCGTGAAACACGACTCCAAGTGGTTCAAAGGTGAGGTCCAGAGGGCAGTGGGCCCAGTCCTGGCAGGGCTGACATTTATCAAATCCCCTCACCAGAATAAGAGTCACAGAGAAACTAGGAAGGGGACTTCTCATTTTTGGAATGTATTGACCTCTTTGAACATAAATCTAGAGGAATGTGATTTCAGTTGGATCTAAAGGAGAACCTGCTGGAAGTGGGTGGCTTTAGATGCCCGAAATGGAACTATAGCAGGGGTATAACAGGAACTCAGCTCTTCAACATGAGGGAGGAAAGTGACAAAAAATAGTAGATGTTGCCATTTGTAGGGAGTAGATATGGTGATTTCAGGCTTCTGACCTCCCTTCTTGCACCAAAATAACCAAACTTTGAGTCTGTTTCATTTTTGCCTGGGTAACCAGCCAAGGTCTCCCCTTCACCATAAAAGCTGATTAGTTCTCAGCCCCAGAACACCCTTGTTATATCAGGGGCTGAGTTCTGATCCCTTCTGTCTTACAGAGCCATACTTTGTCCATGCAGTGGAGTGGGGCAACCACGTCTACTTCTTCTTCCGGGAGATTGCAATGGAGTTTAACTACTTGGAGAAGGTAAGGCCCTATTTCCCTGCAAGAGATCTGTTTAGTGGGAAATGGAGTGGAAAGGCTCCAGTCATGGGAAGTGGAGGTCCAAAGTGGATCCATGAATCTCCACCTGAAGTGAGAGTCCCACACTCTGCATCTGGTCCTCAAGGTCTCCCCTCCAGCCGGGTCCATGCCTGGAGGCTGAAGGCGTATATGGATTAGCCTTGGTACACTCAGCCCTGGCAAAGGATACGAACCTGAAGTCAAATAGAGGCTGTTTCTCCTCTACTGTCCACCCACCCAGCTACCATCATTTATCGTTCTTCAACGACTGCCTTTCCGTCCACCTGCTCAGCCTCCCACTTACCCATCTGCCTGTTCTTCAGTCCACCCACACTTCCATCAGCTCATTTATCCATCTGTATCCATCTACCCACCCGCCCATCTAACTACCCACCAACCATCCATCATCTACTCATCACCCTTCCATCTATCGATCCATCCCTCCACCCACTACTCATTTATCCACCCACCCACTACTCATCCATCCATCTATCATCGATCCATAACCCATTCACCCAAGCACTGATCTATCCACCTACCCTCCTATCTATTATCAATGCATCCATCCATCCATCTACACACTAATCCATCCAGCCACCCACCTGTCTATCCATCAGTGCACTCATCTATCTATCCATCCATACACACATTTATCCACCCACTTATCCATCTACCCATCCATCTGCCCATTCACTCATCTACTGATGCACCAATCCATCTACATGCCCATCCATCCATCCAACACACACTCATCCATCAATCCATTCACAAACCCCCCATCTACTCACTCATCCATCCACCCACCCACCCATCTGTCCATCATTGCACTCATCCATCTATCCATCCATCCATTGACACACACATTCATCCACTCCCTCATCCATCTACCCATCCATCCACCCACTCACGTATCCGTTGATGTACCCATCTATCCATTCATCCACTCACCCACCCACCTATCCATTGATGCACCCATCTATCCATCCATCCACACACCCATCCATCCACTCACCCACCCACCTATCTATTGATGCACCCATCTATCCATCCCTCCACACACCCATCCATCCACTCACCCACCCATCTATCCATCAATGCACTCATTCATCTATCCATCCATCCTTCTTTGTACACATCTCTCTACCCACTCATCCATCCACCCATTCATCCATACACCCACCCACCTATCTATTGATGCACCCTTCCAGCCAGCCAGCCACACACCCATCCATCCACTCACCTACACATCTATCCATCAATGCATTCACCCATCTATCCATCTATCCTTCTTTGTACCCATCTATCAACCCATTCATCCACCCACCCTCTACTGATGCAACCATCCAGCCAAACACCCATGTCCTTCTTTATCTCCTTTATTATCCATCATCTTTCATCAGATTCATTCATTTGTCTGTCTATCAACACACACACCCCCACGTAACTATCCATTTATATACTCATCCACTTATCCATCCATCTGTCCATCCAGGCAGCCAGATAGTAATGAAGTGCACAGACTCCCTCTTACTACTAGTGTGACCTTGGGCAGGTCACTTCCCTTTCTCAGTGCCTCTGTGTCCCATATGTGCAATAGGAACATTAGAGGCTCCGTTCAGGAGGAGTGTAAGAGATGTGAGAACCAAGTGGAGGAAATGATGATTATAGTCATCATTGTTACTATGGTTACCATCGTCTTCCCCACATTTCTACTGGAACAGCAGGGGCCCAGAGAGGTCCCACTAGATCCAGGGCCAGATGTCTCCATCCCAGTTGGGCGGTGTGGCCTATGGGCAAGTCTTCCTGGGACACAGACTCAGGCCTCCTATCTGTCCACTGTCATGCCCAGGTGGTGGTGTCCCGCGTGGCCCGAGTATGCAAGAATGACGTGGGAGGCTCCCCCCGTGTGCTGGAGAAGCAGTGGACGTCCTTCCTGAAAGCACGGCTCAACTGCTCTGTTCCTGGGGACTCCCACTTCTACTTTAACGTGCTACAGGCTGTCACAGGCGTGGTCAGCCTGGGGGGCCGGCCCGTGGTCCTCGCAGTCTTTTCTACACCCAGCAACAGGTCAGAGCCCACTCACAGGAGCAAACTGAGAGCTTTTGGTGGGCTTGCATGGGGAGATCCCAAATGCAATCATCAAACATGCTCTAGGTCTTGGGTTGGGCAAATCTGGATGTCCAACAGGCCTCAGCCCCAGGCTGGGGTGGAATGAAAAAGACACTGACCATCCAAGGCCCTTATCCTCTGCCTTTGGGGGATAGAAGCGAGAAGGGCTTCCTGGGAGAAGGGACATTGGAGCTAAGCTTTGGGTGTAAGATGGAGGAAGAAGGAAGTGCGTTCAAAGAACAACATGTGCAACGGTCCTAAGGCTGCAGTCTTGCTATGTTTAATATGGAGGAGGTCCATGTGTCTGGAGCAGGGTGAGCTGAGGTGGAGAGAGGGAGGAAGGGAAGCTGGGGAGGGGATGAGGAAGGTTGTGCAGGGCCTTGTGGGCCATAGAGAGGACCTGGACTTTATCCTAAGAGCACTAGGGAGCCATGGGAGAGTGAGGAGCAGGAGAGGGATGAAACCAGGTTTACATTTTCTTAAAGTTCTCCAGGTTTTGAAGGTTCTAAGGGTGCAAAAGTAGCACATGGGAGAGGGGACTCTCAGGCAAGTGACAATAGGAGACTAAATGGGTAGGTGACCTCAGAGGAGCCAGACAATGGTCCTATCTGAGAGTTGCTCAGGACATAGAATGGGGGAAGGAAGGGAAGCATGTGCCACCCAGGGAACCAAACATCTGTTGGTGTCCGAGGTCAAGGACTCCTCTGCATGCTTGTCCAAGGTGGTGCCGCCCACCAGGCTCACCAAACTCTTTAATCCAAACCATCACCACCCAGCATCCCTGGCTCGGCTGTCTGCGCCTTTGACATGACACACGTGGCTGCTGTGTTTGAAGGCCGCTTCCGTGAGCAGAAGTCCCCTGAATCCATCTGGACACCTGTACCGGAAGATCAGGTGCCTCGGCCCCGGTGAGAGTCCCCTCCATCCTGAGTGCCCAGATAAGGTGCCCAGATATTTAGTCGTTGCCAAGTTCAGCTGTGCTCATTATGCAAATGGAAAAAATTAAGGATCTTTGGGCAGAAGGTCCTGCTGGCAAATCAAGGGCCCTTTATGGGGACCTCTCAAGTTAACCCTGACCTCCCCATTATATCCTTCCACCCAGGCCTGGGTGCTGTGCTGCTCCCGGCATGCAGTACAACGCCTCCAGCGCCTTGCCTGATGACATTCTCAACTTCGTCAAGACCCACCCCCTGATGGATGAGGCTGTGCCCTCCCTAGGCCATGGGCCCTGGATTGTGCGGACGCTGATGCGGTCAGTCTTGGCAGGGCAGGGGTGTGGGGACAAGGACCCAGGCCACGATAGTGGGGAGGGAGGACAGGGCTTATTGCAGGCAAGAGGGAGAGAGACCCTGGTGAGAGCCCAGTCTGGGGGGGAATCTGTTCTGTGATGAACACACATGTCCTCTTATTTCTGGTGTGTGTTCCCACATGCCTGAGTGTGTTCACCCATGCACCCACTTTTATTGCTCTCACGAACATTAGTATGTCAGTGTCCTTGCGCAACTGTGTAACCACCCCTGTGCCTGCCTTGGTGGTATGTGATGGCTGTGGGGCCAGCAGTTTGTAAGGCCAGCCTGACTCCCACCCTGACCTGGCCTCCAGGCACCAGTTGACACGTGTGGCCGTGGATGTGGGTGCTGGCCCCTGGGGCAACCAGACTGTCGTCTTCCTGGGTTCCGAGGCAGGCACTGTCCTCAAGTTTCTTGTCCGGCCCAATGCCAGCGCTTCAGGGACTGCTGGGCCCAGTGTCTTTCTAGAGGAGTTTGAGACCTATCGGCCAGACAGGTGTGTCTGGGTTAAGGCAGGGAGGGGGCACCAGTGGGTGCAGAGATGGGATGGGTATTTGAGTCTCACCACTTTGTTTGTCCCCAGGTGTGGTCGGTCTGGTGGTGGTGAGATAGGGCAGCGGCTGCTGAGCCTGGAGCTGGACACAGCCTCAGGGGGCCTGCTGGCGGCCTTTCCCCGCTGTGTGGTCCGTGTGCCTGTGGCCCGCTGCCAGCAGCACTCAGGGTGTATGAAGTGAGTAGCCCATTCTGGGCTGGATGTGGGTGGGAGCTAAGAAAAATAAGAACAGGGAGGAGGGAATCCAGGTTCCAGTTGGGGGCCCAACAGTGTTCTGAGTTGCTGAGTAATAAACAGGACATAGCCTGTGCAAAGGTACTGAGGCAGGACTGTGTCTGGTGTGTTGGAGACACAGCAAGGAGGCCTGAGTTGCTAGAACAGAATGAGGAAAGGAAAGGAAGGGAGGAGGGGAGAGCAGGGAGGGGACAGGGAAGGTCATGCAGAGCCTGGTGGGCACCAGGGAAGGAAGAAAGGACTTAGGCTTTGACCCTGAGGAGGTAGGACCGTGGGGGCTGTGACAGGAGGGACAGGCCCTGACTCTGGTGCTCACAGACGTCCTCTAGTGGCTGTTGTGGGGAGGACAGGCTGAGGGAAAGAGGCTGCTTCCCTGTGTCTAAAGCTGGTGTCCAGTTAGGGTGCATGCAGAGTATGGGTGACCCTTGGGCTCCCTGTGAACCCTCAGCACAGAGGCCCCTATCTTCTGCCCCCCACTGAGTTAATGGCACAAATCTGGAGCAAGCCTGCTAGGATGCTCATCCCAGCTCCTCCTTTCCTGAGCTTCGGTTTGCTTGTCTATAAAATGGGGAACCATAGTCCCCACCACAGATATATCATTGTGAGGACCCAGGAACAGCTCTTAAGAAGCAGGTGATTGCAGCAGGACCCAGTGGGCATGCACTGTGGTGCATGTGAAAGGGGCTGTGAAAGGGGCTGATGAAAGGGGCTGATGATAAGAGACCTTTGTCTGCTCTAGGAACTGTGTTGGCAGCCAGGACCCCTACTGCGGGTGGGCTCCCGACGGCTCCTGTATCTTTCTTAGCCCTGGCACCAGGTACTGCTTCAGAGAAAGGTGGGCGGAGGGTGTGTGGCTGACCTAACCGGGAACTTATGCTCACTGTGCTTCCTCTCACCCCTTAGAGTCACCTTTGAGCAGGATGTGTCTGGGGCCAGCACCTCAGGCTTAGGGGACTGCACAGGTGAGTAGGAGGGAGGGGAGGTCAGGCTAGGAACCCTCATCCCCCATCCCTATGAGGGGAGTGAGGGAGAAGGCCCAGGAACCCCCAATCCTGGTTCTCCAGGCTTCTCTTGCCTCAGCATGCTCATGGGGGTGGGGCAGTTAGACTCTACCAGGACTTTAGAAGGGCCTGGATCCCACTTCTGAGGGAGGGAGAGAGCAGAAGAACAGACAGACCCCAGAAGACAGAGACAGAAGGATGGGCCAACTCTGAGATGACACCCAGAACCCACAAAAACAGAGAGACACTGAAAGTGGACAGACATTGGTGGGAACAAAGAGACATCGCAGGGCAGCCAGACAGGCCTGAAGAGGCTGGAGGGGTGTGCAGACTTCTCCCAAGTCACACACACACACACCCAGGCTAGCCCTCTTACCCAACCTCCTTGCCAGGGCTCCTTCGGGCAAGCCTCTCCGAGGAGCGTGCCGGGCTGGTGTCTGTGAACCTGCTGGTGACCTCGTCAGTGGCCGCCTTCGTAGTGGGCGCCGTGGTGTCCGGCTTCAGTGTGGGCTGGTTTGTAGGTCTCCGGGAACGGCGTGAGCTGGCCCGCCGCAAGGACAAGGAGGCCATCCTGGCCCATGGGGGTGGCGAGGCAGTGCTGAGTGTGAGCCGACTGGGGGAGCGCCGGTCAGCTGGCCCTGGGGGTCGGGGTGGTGGGGCTGGTGGGGCTGGTGGGGTTGGGGGCCCCCCTGAGGCGCTGCTGGCACCCCTCATGCAGAATGGGTGGGCCAAAGCCACGCTGCTGCAGGGCGGCCCCCACGACCTGGACTCGGGGCTGCTACCCACACCAGAGCAGACTCCACTGCCCCAGAAGCGCCTGCCCACCCCGCACCCCCACCCTCATGCCCTGGCCTCCCGTGGCTGGGACCATGGCCACCCCCTGCTCTCCGCCTCCGCCTCTTCCTCTCTGCTGCTGCTGGCCCCCACCCGAGTCCCAGAGCAGCCCCCTGCACCGGGAGAGCCGGCCCCCGACACCCGCCTCTATGCTGCGCGGCCTGGCAGAGCCTCCCACAGCGACTTCCCGCTCACCCCTCATGCCAGCCCGGACCGCCGGCGAGTGGTGTCAGCACCCACGGGCCCCTTGGACCCAACCACAGCCTCTGACAGCCACCCTCGGCCCTGGAGCCCACCCCCGACGGGCAGCCTCCGGAGACCAGGGCCCCATGCCCCGCCAGCCACCGCCCTGCGCCGCACGCACACGTTCAACAGTGGCGAGGGCAGGCCCGGGGAACGACACCGTGGCTGCCATGCCCGGCCAAGTACGGACTTGGCCCACCTCCTCCCCTATGGGGGGGCGGACAGGACTGCACCCCCGGTGCCCTAGGCATGGGCCCTCCCACCACCTTGGCAGTGCCAGCCACGGGAACCAGGAGCGACAGACGGCGCAAGAACGCCAGGCCCTGGCCAGCTCCGAGTGGGTGCTTAAGACCCCCACCCCACCTGCGTGGGGGGCCCCCTCCGCCACACGGAAGCACAACGAGCTCGCCCTCCCCCCACCCGGGGCACAGGACACTGAGATGGTTTGGGGTGGGTGGGTGGGAGGAATTTGCTATGGATTTGAGGTTGACCTTATGCGCGTAGATTTTGGTTTCTTTTGCAATTTTTGTTTCTTTTGCAGTTTTTTAACCAATTGCACAACTCCGTTCTTGGGGTGGTGGCCAGGGGCTCGGCAGTGGGGTGGGGACAGGAGAGGGGCCACTGCTGCAGACCCAAGCCCTCCCCCCCAAAATGTCCCTCCCTGCCCCAAGCCCCTGGTGTGTGTGGGTGTGTGTGTGGGTGTGCATGCTGTGTTTGTATGTGCAAGGGGCTGGTGAGGGGCGTGTGTGCGTGCCTGTAAGGGCTGCTGTGGGCGTCTGCGTTAGGTGGGCCACTCGTGTGCTGTGTGTGTTTAAGTGAGAGCGTGTGGTCTCCCCAGCAGCCTGGGCGTTGGCTGAGCCGATGCTGGGGCTACCAGAAGGCCGAGGGCCTCCAAGGTGCCGGTCCAGAGTCTGAACCCCCCATGCAGAGGGAAGGGAGAACAGTGCTGGGATTTCAGGCCAGAAATCGGGACAGCCTGCCCAGAAGTCACATTTGCAATGTACAGGGCTCAAGGAGGCCTGGGGGGAGGTGAAGGTGGGCAGGCCCCCTGTAGTACAGTCCTGGGGTGGTCAGAGAGTCCCATATCACCCATCCTCTTGCGACCTCCCCCCTTTGATCTCCAGCTGACCATGCATGCCACGTGGCCAGTTGAGTCCTGGACCCTTTCTGGAGCTTGCCTCCCCCAGCCCCTCCCCATCAATAAAACTCTGTTTACAACCACCGGCCCCCAAGGCTCTGGCTGTGCTCTGTCCTCTGGGGGGTAGAGGGGGCAGTTGACCACATCAAGACAGAAATCTCGGGGGCTGGATGTAGAAATTTGGAGAGATGTGGGGGTTGTCTCCATCTTCATCTGGATAGAGGACAGTTTCTGATTGTTTCTTCAGCAAATATACAGTGTATACCTATTACGTGCCCTGCCCTTATGAAAGTGGACTTGTGGGAGAGGGGCATGGGCCAATGCCATACAAGCAAATTAAACCCTGATTTGAGCTAATTGTGTAAGAAAAAGCATGATGGATGGGCATGGTGGCTCACACCTGGGATTACTTTGGGAGGCTCAGGCAGGAGGATCACTTGAGGCCAGAAATTCAAGACCAGTTTGGGTAATATAGTGAAACTCCGTCTCTATAAAAAGTAAAAAAATTAGCTGGGTTCAGTGGCACACACCTGTAGTCCCAGCTACTTGGAAGACTGAGGCAGGATGATCACTTGAGCCCAGGAGTTTGAGGCTACTCAGTCCCCATGAAACACTAACTCCACATTCTCCTTACCTCATCTTCTGAATTTCAAGTGGGACACAAAGCCATCAGAGAGTTTCAAGCAGGACATGTGATCTGATTTCAAAAAATTGCTTTGGTATCATGTCACTGTATTTCACAAGTCTTCCTTCCTCGCAGCCCATGTTGATTAAGTACCTACTAATGGCTGGGCTCTGGGGACAGAGCACGGACACGACAGATTCAGGCCCCTCCTTATGGGGAAGACCAGCATTCCACAAAAAAATGCAAATCACCATGAAGGCACCTAATAGTTCCTCTTGAACCTGTGTGTCTGTTTTTTATGGGTTTATTTCTATCAGGAACTCTGCAAATCTATCATTCTCTGCTATGTGTCCTGCTCTATGACTCTGGTTCTATCTAGGTATTTTCACATTTACCTTTTTATCTATGTCAGTATCTGTGTCCTTGTCTGTATATTCATGTATATGTCCATCTCCCTTCCTTTTTTTTTTTCTTTTTGGAAATAAGGCCTCACTCTGTTGCCCAGGCATGAGTGCAGTGGTGTCATCATAGCTTGTTGCAACCTCAAATTCCAGGGCTCAAGTGATCCTCCTGCCTCAGCCTCCCAAGCAGCTGGGAGAAAAGGCATGTGCCACCTCATTTAGATATTTTTTGTTTCTTGTAGAAAGGAGGATTTACTCTTCCTTAGGCTGGTCTTAAACTCCTGCCTTTAAGCAATTCTCCCACCTCAGCCTCCCAAACTGCTCTTTCTTTTTTTTTTTTGAGACAGAGGCTCAAGCTATCCGCCTGGGTAGAGTGCCGTGGCATCACAGCTCACAGCAACCTCCAACTCCTGGGCTCAAGCGAGTCTACTGCCTCAGCCTCCCAAGTAGCTGGGACCACAGGCGCCCGCCACAACGCCCGGCTATTTTTTGGTTGCAGCCGTCATTGTTGTTTGGGGGGCCCGGGCTGGATTTGAACCCGCCACCTTAGGTGTATGTGGCTGGCGCCTTAGCCACTTGAGCCACAGGCGCTGAGCCTGCTCTATCTTTATCTGTGACTGCTGTTGTCAGCCAGAACATTTGTCTCTGATCCACTGAGAGAACTCTTAGTCATCCTACAACCAAATTTCTCTCTCTACCAAGTCCTTAATCCCTGAGATTCGAGGAATGAATCCACAGACCATGCAAATCATGAAAGGGCAAAATTTTTTTTTTTTTTGACGTTTTTGGCCGGGGCTGGGTTTGAACCCACCTCCTGCATATGGGGCCGGCGCCCTACTCCTTTGAGCCACAGGTGCCACCCGAAAGGACAGATTTTATTGAGAGATAAAAGAGATAGATAAGCAAAGAGAGGAACAGAACCTCTGGCAGTGGAGAGGAGGACCCAAGTGGGAAGCCCATTGGGCCTTCTACCTAGGGAAAGGTTTATATATTGCTTTTTCTATTCTACAGGCAGGGGGTTTGGGGAAGACAGAATGTATGTCTGGTGTATGTCACAACTGTTTGGTGCCAGAAGCTTGGGCAGAAGTTAATTTTAAAACTGCCATAGTGCAGAGGGATGTGGTCTCACCTGAAGCGTGCTTTTCTGCTCCAGAAGAAGCAGTAGGGTATGTTCCCACAGAGGCAGCCCAGAGGAGACCCTGGTCATGCTACTTTTTATGAGCTTGTTTGTCCAGAGAATACAGCCTGCAGAGAACCTGTGTGTGCCTACAAATGGGGGTCTGGACCTGAGACTGACCTCTGAGCTCACTCAGGCCTAGAAAAATGGGGGGTCTCTGTCCACCTCTGAAGGGGGAGCCCTGTATCAATCCTCACAGCTGAATGGGGACAAAATCTATTAGAGGTTGGGCTGGGAGAAAGAGTCATGGCCAGGCATGTCAGAAGTCCTGGGTGCAGGTTAAGATAACACATCATACTTGAATATTTAGAACACAACAAGAAAAAGCATCACATAGTCAAACCCATAGGACACAGACAAAGCAGTTCTCAAAGGAAAACGTATAGCTTCCAAATGCGTTTTATTAGGAAACAAAAAGATCCAAAACAAGAAAGAAAGAGCCAAAGAGGCCCTCAGACATTGAGTTCAGCTTCACAGATGGGTAAACTGAAGCAAAGAAAGGTCACCTGCCTAAGGTTACAAAACAAAATAGTTCATGACAGAGCTAGAATTCAAAACAAGGTTTTGCTCCTCCCAAGCCATTGTTGAAAGAACACAGAAATTCTGTCATTACTCACCACCGAACTCTATTTTTATTTAAAAAAAAATTCATTAAAGAAACCCACAATAACATGCCATGAATTGGATACGAGGACACTTTTGTCCTTTACACTGAACTTCTTGGTTGTTTCAGTTTATTATAAATAGTATCTTTTACTCAAAGAGCTGTCCTGTCATCCTCCTAGGGATGGTGTTTTGTTGTTTTTTTTTTGAGACAGAGGCTCAAGCTATCCCTCTGGGTAGAGTGCCGTGGCTTCACAGCTCACAGCAACCTCCAACTCCTGGGCTCAAGCGAATCTCCTGCCTCAGCCTCCCAAGTAGCTGGGACCACAGGCGCC